TTTCGGACAATGCCGCAAGCTCCCGAAAGCTTGCCTCAGCCTACCCCCCCTGGGCCCCCCCCCAACGTTGCTTTTGTCGGGGGCAAACAAACCTACCTCGCTTTTGACCACCCTCGCTTCCAAGAGATACCACGCGATGCCAAACTACGGCCCGTACTGGTCAGGCCGCTTGACGAGGAGACGCGTGGTATGACTTGGTTTTGCCTGGAAGCGAAAGCGGGGTAGGTAATTCACGCTCTGATTTTGATACCCCCCCTGGGCCTCCCCCCTGGGCCTCCCCCCCCACCGTTGCCTTTGGTACCCATCGGGCAGCGCCTCGGAATCCAGGACCCCGAACAAACGGCTGTGGACGTGCCCGTCGCTCGAGTCGGCTGGTCCGCAGCGGGGCCCGTCGCGTCGGCGCCCCGTCCGCGGGTCAGCGGAGTCGGCCCTCTCAGAGAGGGGGGGGAGTGGTGCGTGCGGCGCTCGCTGCGTACAAAAACCTCTGCTCGCCATCGCTCGGACGTTCACTCCTCGTGCACGTTTCGGTTTCGTGTGCACTTTTGTTGAAAGATGGCCCCAAAGGCTCCTCGAATGTCCTCGCTGAGAAAATGATCACGTCCAAGCGATGCCAGGTCTGCGAAAATTATCCTGGCGAAGGACCCAACCATATGCAAACGTGAATGCCGCAGGGCAGGTGGGACAAAGCAAGAGGAAGTCTCTATGGGGCAGCGATCCTCGTGAGGAGTGTGCCGAAATGGGACGGGGCCGCCATGCGAACGCTGCCACTGGGGCCTTCGGTGGAGCCCCCTTATGGGGCCACGATCCTCGTGAGGGGTGTGCCGAAATTGGGCGGGGCCGCCATGCGGACGCTGCCACTGGGGACTTCGGTGGAGCTCCCTATGGGGCCACGATCCTCGTGAGGGGTGTGCCGAAATGGGGCGGGGCCGCCATGCGAACGCTGCCACTGGGGCCTTCGGTGGAGCTCCCTATGGGGCCACGATCCTCGTGAGGGGTGTGCCGAAATGGGGCGGGGCCGCCATGCGAACGCTGCCACTGGGGCCTTCGGTGGAGCTCCCTATGGGGCCACGATCCTCGTGAGGTGTGTGTGTGTGTGTGTGTGTGCCGAAATGGTCCGAGGCCGCCATGCGAACGCTGCCACTGGGGCCTTCGGTGGAGCTCCCTATGGGGCCACGATCCTCGTGAGGGGTGTGCCGAAGTGGGGCGGGGCCGCCATGCGAACGCTGCCACTGGAGCCTTCGGTGGAGCTCCCTATGGGGCCACGAAACGCTGTACTGGGTGGGTGAAACGCAGGGAGGAGAGGGGAGGAGGAGGAGAGGAGGAAGAGGAGAGGAGGAGAGGAGACGCGGGCCACCGTCTCTTCAAAACGAGGACCCAACACCACAGGATGGTTGGGAAAAAGGAAACGCAAGCACCCTCCCCCTCCTCCTCCGCGAGGTCTTCAGGGGGAGGTGGTGTACTTTCCCACGCTCGCCCTGTTCGACTCGGCGAGCTTGGATGCGTGATACGCGACCCCTAGCCCAACAAACATGACACACCCATGCTGGACATGCATTGGCAACTCTCTGCCCTATTTTGCCAACTATGAAACGCGTTGACATCGCAGAGGTGGAAATGGGCATGCTACTCCTGTATAACGACCTTGTCTCGATGTGTGGCCACCTCGATCGCCGCGGCGACCTCCCAAACCGCCCCGGAATTTTTTGGGATTCGGGGTCGGGTATCAAGCATCGAGAGCTGACTCCGTGTGTGCTCCAAGAACATTGCGCATCCGAAACAGCGTGCAGCCGACGCGTGCCACGCCGATGCCTCACCGCCCACCCTCGCTGTAGATGGACAGGAAGAGGGCTGGCCCGAGGTCTCCAACCTCGGAGCTAATTCGGCACGGCAGGCGAGCCGGGGTGGTCGCGCGGCGGTCAGCTCTGCGAGATGGCACCACGGGTGGGTCTGACCGCGCTGACCCTAGACCGAGCCAATTCGCAAGCTCGCAGCACAGCATCCTTTCGCCGAGGTCGGGCTTCTCATGTGGGGACAGCGCTCACTGCTCATTACACCGGCCTTGCAGACGTGCTGCAGTGGATTTCTGCATGGATTGTTTTGCCCGAAGCGGCGAGCAAAAAACGAAGTGAATTTCGGGTGGATTCTTTTTAGTCTTCATTCCTGGCCAAAACAAATCCGCACGAAATTCGTCTCGAAATCTGGAACGACATTCCCCAGGACACTCCAGGCCCATTCTATCGCTTTCCGAACGAGATCCACTCTGCGATGTTGGCGCCATGACACTGCGAGTGCGTCGCCACTTCCAGTGGAGTCCTGTGGGGTGTAGGGCCTGGTCTCGCTATCTCGTACGGGTGAGGTCTGGTCTCGTGGTCTCGCGCGGGCTCTGGAGCTCGCACGGGTGGGGTCTGGTCTCGTATGGGCGTACGAGCAGCTGCGCTTGCTTTCCCTGGGGCCTGAACTCGGCGTGCACGCCCCAGCAATCCAAGACTGACGGGGCCCAGGGACACACAAGCAAATACACACACAAATCACAGGATTCCCAATATTTCTTCATAATTTTTGGATTTTCGTCTTCAGCCCCACTTCCTATATTTTTCTATATTTTCCTGGGAATGATTCCCAGGAAATCGACGATTCAATCGACGATTGATTGTGTCTGTGTGTTTTTCCCTCCTGAAAAACGTCTTGATCTGCATGCTGTCTCCCCAAGCAAATTGTTTCCGCCGCGAACTCCTGGATAATGCCACGGCGGCGCCAAGCCGCTGCGCAGGACCGCCCAGGAGGAAAGGAACGAGGAGGGGAAGCAGGATGCAGAACAGAGAAAGAGGAGGGAGGAAGCAGGACAGGGGAGGAAGGTCCCCCTTGGCGCAGATGGTGGGCGTTAGCCGTAACCCCACTAGCCCACTAGGCGGCGGTGGTTTAGCGCGCTCCTTCTTCCAACCTTCTTTTTCCCTTTCAAGGAAGGGTTTATCCTTCTTGACTGTTGGGATCTACTCCCACTCTGCCGTAAAACCAGCCGATAGGGGCCACATCCAAGTGGTCCCATCCTACTTATCAGAAAACCATACGTGCTCAGCGTGCTTCGTCTCAACGCGTGCGCTTTGTCGCCGACGCTGCACGGACGTGCAGCAGGAGCGGGACGCGGCGCACATCCCGCGCGAAAGGCCGAAATGTCGCTCTCACCTCGGCACCGCGCCCATGTTCCTGGAGGGCTGGGCTCCCGCCCAGGCGCGGCGCACGCTTCTCGCACGCAGGATCGTCGACGCGCGAGCAGACGAAAACGTCACTCTCGCCCCGGCGCCGCGCAGACTTCCCCTGAACATGGGGCCTCCGCCCCGACGCGGCGCATATTTGTCACTCGCCAATTGACTGTGTGTGTGCGTGCGTGCGTTCGTGTGTGTGTGTGTGTGTGTGTGTGTGTGTGTGTGTGTGTGTGTGTGTGTGCGTGTGTGTGTGTGTGTGTGTGTGTGTGTGTGTGTGTGTGTGTGTGTGCGTGTGTGTGTGTGTGTGTCTGTGTGTGCGTGTGTGTGTGTGCGTGTGTGTGTGTGTGTGTGTGTGTGTGTGTGTGTGTGTGTCCGCTCTCCCTCTGGGACTTCGCCCCCGGCTCCTGTCCAAGGCGTACCTTTTCCTGTGCAAGCTCTTCGGCACCGCCTGTACTCCGCACCCTCCGGCCGCCTGAGGCCCCGCCCGCCCGCGCCCTGTCTCCCCAATTAGTGCTTCGCGCGCCCCGCCTAGCTCTTAACCGGAAGAGGCCCGCCCTCGACCCGCCGACCAAAAAAGTGTGTGTCTGTGTGTGTGCGCGCGTGTGTGTGTGTGTGTGTGTGTGTGTGTGTGTGTGTTCGGGGGCCAGGAGGAATCTCAGACGACCCCAAGAACGCCCACGAGCGCCCCAAGAGGCGACTCGTTTAGCTCCAGGGAGGCGGTGCTAATCGTCGCTATCTCCTTCGATCAAAGCCCAACTCATCGAGCACACAGTATGTTGTTGAAAAACATGTTGGCATCTCGGGGGCATCCTTGGGAGGTTGTTGGGCCGATATGGCTCCGAAGTAGCTTCAGATAGCTCAAGATGACGTCCAGGGTGGCTCAACCTATCCTTCAGAATACCTCTAACAGGCCGCAGGACCACCCAAAGACGGGCCCAAGTTGCCACAACACGTCCCGAGACGACACTCGAGAGGCCTGAATCGCTCCAAAACCGAATCTGGTTCAATGCTGTTGGGCACCGCGCCTTCTAATCTGGGATGGGCCTCTGAGGCCGGAAAATGGCCACAACATCGCCCAAGAGAGCCCCGAGAGTGGCCCAGAAGAGACCAGAACGGCCCCAAGACTGCCCCTTTTAGGTTGGGATGGGCCTCTGAGGCCGGAAAATGGCCACAACGTCGCCCAAGAGAGCCCCGAGAGTGGCCCAGAAGAGACCAAAACGGCCCCAAGACTGCCCCTTTTAGTTTGGGATGGGCCTCCGAGGCCGGAAAATGGCCACAACATCGCCCAAGAGAGCCCCAAGAGTGGCTCAGAAGAGACCAGAACGGCCCCAAGACTGCCCCTGAAGCCGGTACTTCGGGCCCTGACGGGACAATGCCTCGGGCGATGCCCCCGGATATCGCCCCCAAAGGGCCCCCAAGGCCCAAGAGGGCCCAATGAGGGTCCCAAAAGGGCTCCGAGAGCTCCCAGCGCGACACCAAGAGGTCTCCAAGATGGCGATGGTTCCAAAAGGGCTTCCCGGTGATCTCTAGAGCGAATGGTCCGAAGATCTTCATGGTCGACTTCCCCCTCCTGCTGTCGTCGTCGCCCTTTCCCCGCGTCCTCGATAATATCCTCCTTACCCCCCCGCGGGACCTGCAACGGCAGTACCACTCAACAGAGAGAGGGAGAGAGAGAGAGAGAGAGACAGACGGTCATGGAATGCTGCATGCATCTTCTTCCGCTCGCTAGCACATACTAACTTGAAATTATGGCCTGATGGAGGCACCGCTTGCCACGTTGCCCCGGTGCCAACTTGACTACCGACTGTGCTGGCCAAGCACACTCGGCGGCCCCCCTCGCACAGATTGGGCGAGGGAGGCTAAACGCGATGAAGGGGGGTGGGCCACGGGCTTGCACTTCCAAGCCCATGCGGGTCACTGCGGCAAGCCAGGCCGCCGCCGCGGGACGGACGCCCCCGAACGCCCCCGCAAGCGAGTCGGTGTTCCCGGAGAAACTTCCGAGAACATCTGACCCTGGGAGGCTCGGGGGCGGCCAAGAGGGGGGTGTCCAAGAGGGGGGGTGCAAATCATGACCGGCGGCATGTGCGCGGCCCAGCGGGGGGGGCCAGGGACGTAATGACATAAAAAGAGGCGCCACGAAATCTGGGGAGATATCATGGCCCACGCCATGATATCCACCCCCCCCTAGTCATCATCCCCCTCTTTTCCGCCCCCGTGCCCGGGGCCCCGTGCCCGGGGCGGGCCCGAGGGGGCGTCGGACCCCCTCCCGCCAGCAGCCCCGGGACGGGCCCGAGGGTCCTCCCGGAGACCGCGAAGGGAGGCCTCCGCGGAACACATCTGGCCAAATTCTGGTCCTCACGGCCCCCCCCCGAAGCCCGGTGCTAGATGCTCCCGGCAAGGCCTCCAGGAACATGTTCTCAGACGAGCTTCTGGAAACATCTGGATCACCTTCCCGTTGGGATGGGCCAAGGGCTGGCGGAGCAGCTCGATGCCAGCCAGGACTCGCACGGCCACGCACACACGCGCGCTTCCTCCTTGCCCCCCCACGGGAACTGCAACGGCAGCGCGCCGTCCAGCGGCCTTCAACTTTGAATTTGTTGGCGAGCGGAAAAAAAGATGCCCCGACGCCCACTGGCCCCAGTCAGCTTTCATCTAGCGCAATGTCGTCCCACGCCGCCAGGAACAACACATCGGGCTTTGCGACGTCCTCGGTCCAGGGGGGCTGCGCTGCTTCGGAAATCTGCCATCTCTGCTGCTTGGTCCATCGGTCCTGCAGGCCGTCTCTACTGAGGTCGTCTGCCGGATTGGATTTTGAACCGATCCGCTCTGCCCAAATCCTGCATCCCAGGCGCAGCCACATCGAGTGGGCAATCTGGAACACGATCTCCACCTCTGGCTCGTCTGAGCTCCAGCGGATGCCAGCCGAAAACCGCCTCGCCGTCGATGAACCAAACCGCGCCTCGGATTCGAGTTGGGGTCCCACGGGCAAGGTCGCGATTGGGAGCGCCGTGGCCTCTGCCGGGGAGATCCGCAGGACGCGCGGCCCCGCGTCTCGGTGGTCTGCGGTGGCAGTATAGGCGCGTCTGGCCGAGAGGCTGCGCTCCAGATCATGGGGCCGGCGCCTAACCCAGCCTGGGTTGCTGGCCGCTGCCTGGCTGGCACTTGGCGTCTGCATGCAGCGGCGCGGGCAGCTCTGGCGGCCGCGTTGCACTGGCGGCCCTGGGAGGGATCGCGCGCGCCGCCTGGTTAGCTGCAGGATAGCGCACTGCCTCTCCGAAGCGCGAGCCCGCCCTGGCACTGGACTTGCTTGGGCACCGCGAGACCCAGCCTCCGAGGCAACCAATAGGGTCGCTGCCTGCCCGGCCGCTCCGCCCGCGGGTCTTCGCCGCCCGGGCCCGGGGCGTCCGCCGCGTGCCGGATGTCCGCGATGGCCTGCCGGCTGCTGGGGGAGATGTTAACCTCTCCGCCGCCGTCGTGACAGACGCCGCCCACGTTCGCGACGGCCCGCCACGAACTCCCGTTCCATTGCGCGGGGAACGATTGCGCAGGTCTGGGCGGCGCGCCTGCATCAACGAACGTCCTGCAGCAGGCCCTTGGCATCTCAGCCAGAACGCTCGAAGTCAATGGCCAAGGCCAGCGCCCGGCGCATCGCCGCCGCGGCGCCGGCAGGGAAGGCGGCGACGCCGAGCCCAGACCGCGCGGGGAGCTCCGCGTGACCCCGAAGCTCCAGTCGCGTTCCGTCGGCGACCACGCGGCCGCTGCCGCGGCGTTCTGCTGGGAAAGGTGGATCGGGCATCTGTGGGGGGGCGCCTAGAAATTTGCCGCCCCCCCGCTGCAAATGGAACCACTCGGGCAAGACCTCGCCCGGGTAGTGCCCCATGGCCCAGTCCACGAGCCAGCGGGCAGTGGCCGGCGCATTGTCGACGCCGATGGTGTCGACGGTGTCCTCGAGCGCCAACCGCTGGTCATAGCCGCCCCGCCAGCTGTCGTCGATGAGCCTCGTCTTTGCATCCGGGTGCCTGATCGGGAAGCTGCGGATGGGCCGCCAATGCCGAGGGCCGGATCTGCTGTCGACGTGTCGGGGGGCGACGAGGGGCTCGGCGAAGCCCTTGCTGTCCTCTTCCATCGTCGGCTTCCCAATTCCGGCCGCCTCATCGGGGGGCTGAGGCGCAGGGGTACTTGTTGCCTCGTCTATTGCCGCCTGGCCGCCGTAACAGGTCAGACGGGGCTGGCGCGCCTCTCGGAAGATCCCGAAAATTCCGCCGACGACCTCGAAACTGCCCCGCTAACCTTCGCCCCGGGGCGAGTCCCGCTATCGTAGCGCTGTCGCAGCAAAAAACGCGCTCGGTTTGCGGCGCCGACGCGGTAGCTGCGATGTTTCGACAGGGCTCGCCGCGCCCGCGGCGCGCCTCAAGGAGCTTCTCCGCCGCCCCCGCCAGGCCCGCGCGCGCGGGCCGAAGGCGGCCGCGAAGTGCATGTCGTCGCCCATGGGCCTGTGCTTGATGAGCGGCGAGAGCGCCCCCTGCGCCCTGTCGACGCGCCGTCGCAGGCGCAGCCCAAGCAGCAGTGGGTGGTCCAAGCCGCACGTGGCATCGCAAGGGGCGCGCTGGGCCCCGCAGCCAGCCTTGGCCAAGGCCCCGTGCTTCCGCGTGGCCCAAGGCCTGGCGGGCCCGTTTTCCGCCCTGGCGTGGCCGCGCATCTCGGCGAATATTTGGAGGCGCTGCGCCCTCCGCCAGTGGCAGGCGCGCCTCCCAAGCAGTGTCGCCCCCCCGGCATGTCCTCCATGATGTCTCGCGGCGTCAGCAAGCCGGACAACTTGCCCGCGGTGCAATGGTCGAGTGCCGCCCCTCGGACCCTAGCGCGCAAGGCCGCGCCCCGCCCTTCGCCCATCTTGGCTGGCATCGCGGCGGCCCCGCTGGTGAGCATCTGGAGGAAGACGAACGGTGCCAGCGTGGCGGGGGGCGCGCGGGACCTGCGGCCGATGTCGCTGCCCCGCTGCGCCGCGACCTGCCCCTTTGACCGTCGCTGGCCCAGCGCCCCGATCGGCGAGGCGCCGTCGCGCAGTCGCCCGTCTCCGGCCACCGAGGCGGTCGCCGGCCAAGGTTTCTGCCCGTTGGCAGTGATCTAAGTGGCGATCTGGCTGGTCCTGGAGAATCCCATCGGGGGCTGCGCCTCTCTTCGCAGCTCCTGCGGCCGCGGGCCTCGGGCCCCCCTGTGCGCCGATTGATTGCGGCTGGGTGCAGAGCTACTCTGGCCGGGCGGCCCTTCCCCAGCCGCGACGGCCTCGAATCGGCGGCGAGCCGAGGGCCGGGCGGATCACGGCCCCGGCCACCCCCTCCGTGAAACTGGCCAGGACAGCGCCGGGGAACTGCTCGAGCACCACCGCCTGCAAGGGCGCGCCCTCCTCTGCCGAGAGCGCGACGCGCTGGGCGCCCAGGGCGAGCGGGGCCGCCCAGGGATTTCCTAGCCCTGACCACATGTCTACCACTTAGTCATGACCCTGGCACGGCGGCTGCCGAGGCAGCTGCGGCAGGTCGCCGCGCCCTCGCCAGACAATGGGTTTCGCTGCGCGCAGGCGGGCCCCGGGGAGCCAGCGGACTCGGCCCCTGGCCCCGCGGGCATCAACCCGCGCAGAACGGCTGCCCCCCCATCCGCGCATGTGCCCAGAGGGGCTTCCAGGGACATCGGCGGCGCCTCGCCGCGGCTGCCTGTCTTGCCGGCGCTCTGCCCCCACCTGGGTGCCCCGAGCGAGACAGGTCTCCGAAAAGATGCGCCCGCTGGAAGGTCGCTGAGGCGAATCCCGCCAGCCCTCTGGGCTTAGGTGGTATAGCGCGTTTTTTTCCCTCTCCCTTCCACTGAAAACTCCCCCCCATACCCCCTCCCCTGGGCCAGGAAGGGGGGGCGCTGAGGCGCCAGAGCGTCCAAGATGGCCCAAGATTGCTCCAAGGGGGCTTCGAAGTCGCAAAATGGCCTCCAAGATGGCCCATGCTACTTCAAGATGGGCCAAGATAGCCTCCGACATACCCCCAAGTGGCCCCAAGACAGCCCCAAGACGGATCCAAGTGCCCTTCGAGCCCTCCACGGCGCCCTCCAAAATGCCAAAACCGTTCCAACAACTTCAGGCAAATCAATGTTTTTGGCATTATCGCCTTTTCGCTTCCGATGGGCTTTGGAAGCCTCAAGATGGCTTCAATATGCCCCACGAGAGGCCCAAGAGGGGCCCAAGAAGGCCGAATACGGCCCCGAGATCGCCCAGGCGGCGCCCGAGAACGCTCCAAGAGGGCCCCGAGATGCCGTTTGAGAGCCGTTTGAGAGCCTCCGAGGGGGGGGGGGGGGGGCGACCACCCCCCCCTAGTATCTTTTTGAGCCATGGTGCCCGAGACGGCCCCGAGAGGGCTCCCAGACCCCCCGAAGAGCCCCAGGGGGGCTCCAATACCCCCGCCATATATATATATATATATATATATATACACATATGTATGTATATATATATATATATATGTCCTCAAGAGGGCCCCAAGAAGGCCTGAAGACAGCCTCAAGATGGCCCGAGATAGCCGAGCATGGCTCAAGATAGCCCCCGACAGCCTCTAGCCGAGCACGGCTCAAGATAGCTTCCAAAGAGGCCCCAAGAAAGCAGGCGATCAATTCTGGATGGGCTGGTGGGGTACTTTTTTTGGTCGCTGCCACCAGCGAAGAGCGCAGGCGGCGAACAGGGGGTCCAGGCCGAGGGGTGGCAGCTGCTGGGTGCAGCGCGAGCCGGCCGGGCCAGCTCGCAAAAGCAGCAGCTGGGGCAGCGGCGGCGGGGGGCTGGCAGACTGAACTGCAACGCCCAGGTAAGCTCGGGCATCGTGCAGCCCTGCGGCAAAATGCAACGGAATTATGTGTTGCGCGCTGTGGCGTCAGACCACTCCGGTGGAGGTGCATCTTGGGACAGGTGGGATAACCTGCGCGCGCGATCCTCACAGCCACGGTGGTGGGGAAAGGCGAGGTACACACTGGTCGAGTCGCCAGGGGGCGCCAAGGGCCAGGGCTGTGTCGACGGCGTAGACCAGCCAGGTAGGCTGGGCCGGGGCCGTGTCGACGGCGTAGACCTGCCTGGTCGGCTGGGCCGGGGCCAGGACGGAAGCGCCGCGTGCGACGGAAGGCTGGGCCACTCCGAGACGCCGCGCCCGTATCCAATAGGGCGCACCGGACCCGAGCAAGGGCAACGAACCGGCCCGGAGGCGATGGCCCGTTGGGCCTGGCCCATGGCCGCACGGTCACGACATAGGGTCGCGGTGCTGGCGGGGATGCGCGAAGCGTCAAGAGTTCCAAAGACCGGGGAACAACCTGGGGGGCGCTGTCCCTGACAGCGCCGCGCCGCCGCGCGATGGTCCGCGCGGCGTCAGGCCTGGTTATTCGGCGCGCGGAAACTGCAGGCGTGGAGCGCCTTCGCATGGCAGTTTGTGCCATTCCATGTGCCCCGATGGCGGACGCGGCCCGCATCGGCGCGCGCCGGTCACCGCCCTGATGACCTCGAGCAGGTTCTTGCCTTTGCCGCCCTGTTTGTTGCCCACCTTCTGGGCTCAGCGATGGGAATGGCAATCGTCCCAGGGGCGCTTGTGGCAGCCCTGCCCTGGCTGCTGGGAGCGCTGGAGGGCGGCCGCCTTGCCCTCCATGTTCAACAGCGGGCCTGGGTGGACATGGCATGTTGCTGGGCTTTCCCCTCTGGGCCACTCCTCGCTGATGAGCTGCGCCATTTTGGCCCGGGGTCTCGTCCCGCGTTCGCAATCAGGCCAGCTTCCGCACCTCCAGGGCGGCGATGTCGAGGGCGCATTTCCATCGCCTCGCCCGCGTATCCCAGGGCGATCTCTCGTTGGGAAAAACCGCGCGCTGGAGGGCTCGACCTTGGACTCTACCTCGTAGGTGCACTCGGAGCTGATGGTAGTGGCGCGCGAGAAGGATGCAAGGGCCTAGGAAGGCCGCGTCGAAGCTTCTCGAGCGAGTGTGGCCATCGAAAATTGCCAGGGATGGACCGAAGAGGCAAGGTCGCAAAGGTGCCATTGGGAAGTCGCCCGCCCTTGCTATCAGCGTCGGCTGCACCGCAATATGCGTACGTGCCCATGATCAGCCGCAGAACGGAAATGCACCCCAGGAGCGTCGAGACCTCCAGCGCGGTAGGGCGGGTAGCCTCGTAGACCAACGCTACTCCGCTGCTGACAGCCACAGCGCCCAAACGGCACGCGCTTGGTTTCCAGGGGGCGCTTGGCCATAATGAGGACCACTACTTTCTCCGCCAGGTGAACGACGAGAAGAAACGTTTCTGACGCGATATGACATAGCGCCCCTGCGCAGTGGCTTACGCGGGCCGCCCGCGCGGCACGCTGCATTGGAGACGAGGGCGCTTGCGTGGGGCGTTTGCGCCCCGACGCCGGCGCAGACGACCCCGTTGTGCTTTGCGCAGCTCAGGTGGAGGGCGGCCTTCCGCGGGGCGCTCACGCCCCAACGCCACCGCAGTCGACCCTGTTTTTCGTTGTGCCGCTCAAGCGGAGGGCGGCCGCGCCCGCTCGGAACTCGCGGCAGACGCTCTTCTTGAACTTCGGGGCGGCCTTCGTGAACTGGATGGGTTGACGTTTGTGAAGGTCCGCCCATCCCTGCACCAGCGCCTTCTCGACCTTCAGGCCCGAGGGCTTCTCCATGTCCGTATCGACCTCGTCAGCCCTGCGCTCTGCTGCACTCTCTGGCCGCAGCCGCCTGGGACTCTGCTTCTACCCTGGGGCTACAACCAGCGCTGTTGCATCAGACTGAACTCGGGGTCGTCCCCAGCTGCCTCGCGAACCTTGAACTGCTCCGTCACCAAATCGCCGAGCTCCTCCTCGAAACCGTCGTGCACCACGTGCCCGCGGAAATCGCCAAGGGTCCGCAGCAAGCAAGCCTAGCGCAAACACTTTGCCATCTCGTCCGGCACGCCGTCCTGGTTGACGATCTACTCCAAACTGAAAGATATTAGCGGATACGGCCGCCGTCACATGGCTGGCGACTGACGGGGAACACGGAGGTTCCGGGCAAGGCTCGGAAGTGAGGCTGGCCACGGGGCCAAGTGCCTGCAGCGGACATTCCTGGAGAGATCACCCAAGAACAGAGCTGCTCTGGCGCTGCGCCCGGTTGCCGACATGGGGTTGCAAGTCCTCGGGCGCCCCTCTGGGGTCGTTCCCGAGGCGCCCAAACCGAAGTTCCCCGCAGCTTCTCCAGGAACATCCGCATCGATCACCTGTCCATGAGGATGGGCTAAGGACAAGCGAAAGAGCCCCAAACCAACAAGGCCATTCACACACAGACACACACACACACACACCACACACACAGACACAAACACACACACAACAAACACACACAACACACAAATACCACTCACAAACAACACACACACATTATGTCGTCATCCTCGCCTCCTTCATCATCCCTTCTCCTCCTCCTCCTCCTCCTCCTCCTACCTCCTCCTATGATTGTTCCTCCTCCACCCTCCTCGTCACACCTCCCTCTTCATCTTCACTCCCCCCTCCAACTTCTTCGACGGCAGGCTGAACAATCCCAGTCATGGGCATGATCAAGCTGACTCCGAGCTTGGGCTTTGGACGGCTGCCTGAACCTCAGGCAATTAATAAAACCCCCAGGGGTTATCCGTAGCACCGCACCGATACTATCAATCCCAGGGGGGGATTCAGCCGAACGATAATTTCAGCACCGCGCCAAATAGCATCACAAAACATGGTCCACCTCCCTCCTCCTCCTCCTCCTCCTCATTCTCATCCTCCTCCTCCTTCTCATCCCCATCCTCCTGAACCTCATCCTCTTCATCCTCCTCCTCCTCATCACCATCTTCAGCCTCATCCTCATCATCCTCATCCTCATCATCATCCTCATCACCATCATTATTATCATCACCACCACCATCACCATCATCACGATCCTCACTATCACCATCACCATCACCATGACCATGACCATGACCATGACCATGACCATGACCATCACCACCACCACCACCACCACCACCACCATCATCATCATCATCATCATCATCATCATCATCATCATCATCATCATCACCATCACCATCACCATCACCATCACATCATCACCATCACCATCACCATCATCATCACCATCATCATCACCATCACCATCACCATCACCATCACATCACATCATCACATCATCATCATCATCATCACATCATCATCATCATCATCATCATCATCATCATCATCATCATCATCATCATCATCATCATCATCATCATCATCATCATCATCTTCATCTTCATCATCATCATCATAAACATCGTCATCGTCGTCATCCTGCTGACGGCGGGTCCCGGGATAAGGCTTCTTTGCTCGGCAAGTTCTATCCTTTTGCCGAAGGGGGGGTCCTATTAACTAGGCTTCACTGAAAGCTCCTACACTTCCCTGGCCAGGGCGACTCGCCTGGCGATCGTCTCTGGATGGGCTGGTCGAGCAACGCGACGCGTCAACAGACATAGCCACTGCGCCCGCGGACTAACTTCTCCCCGGACCGCGTCGCCCTCTACCGCTCTTGCTCCGCCCGCCACGCTCCAGGGTCCATCCGATGGGCCCGCCCGAGAGGCGTCCGAACCCCGACCCGCCCGTTAGGGCCCACCCCCGCGGCTGCGATGCCCCGCGCCGCCCGACCCGCCCACCCCACAGCTGCTGGGCCCGGCGGCGAGGCGGCGCGCTGGCGCAGCGGGGTGCGCTTGCGCAGCCGGTCCGCCCGCGCAGCGGTCCTCGGGGAAGCTGTCGTCCGCGGAGGCGTCCGGTCCGCTGGCGAAGCGGTCCGCAGGCGCAGCGCTCGCTGGCGCAGCGGTCGTGCGCGAGGCGGTCTGCTGGCAGAGCGGCTCGGGCGAACCAGTCCCCACCGACGCGGTCCTTGGCGGAGCGGTCACAGGGCTTGGCAAGTCCACTCTCTCGACCTCGCCATCGCTCGGACGTCCATTCCTCGTGTAGTTTTCGATTTCGTGCGTGTTTTTTCGCTAAATAATCAAGGATGGTCCTCGATGGCCGTCGCCGAGAAAAAATGCACACGTCCGAGCGATGCCAAGCGACTGCTCAGGGCAGGCGCAGGGTATGCACATACACAGATCTTGGTCAAGCCCACCCCGCGCCCAGCATCGGAGTGCACACGCGCCTAGCTCGGTCGAAGGCACATGCGCTGACCGATGCTGGTTGGTCCGTTCGAGCCGAGACGAACCGAAACCAAGACTGGCTGAAGCCGAAACGAGCCGAGCCGAAACGGGCCGACGCCAAAACAGGCCAGGCCGAAACGCGCCAAAGCCAGAACAAGCCGAAGCAAATACAGGCCGAGGCCGAAACAGGCCGAAAGCCGGAACAAACCAAACCAACACGAACCAACACCAAAAAATGCCGAAAGCGGAAAAGGGCCGAAACCGAAACGGGTCGAACGCCGAAACGGGCCGAACGCCGAAACACTCCGAAGCCAATGCGGGTCAGGCCGAAATGCGCCGCAGCCGAAACGGGCCGAACGCCGAAGCGCGCCGAGGCCGAAACGGGCGAGGCCGAAACAGGCCGAAACCGACACGAGCCGAAGCCCGAAAGCCGAAATGGGCGTGAAACCCAATCTGAGTATCGTTTGATCGATCCCCATCCCCATCGGCGTGGCCTGGGCCCCGCTGGCCGACTTACACCCTTAGATGGGGATATAGGTCGTTCCCTTCGGGTTTCGAGGGATGTGTCCCCAACTGGGATGATAATTTGGTGGGGGTCTCGAAGGGGATGGAGATGGGGATGGGGGTCGGTTAAACGAAACCGACAATCGGGACCTTGTCCAGGGAGCCTCCAGGGACCCACGGAGAACAAAACATTTATGCAGCTGCGCAGCGACTCCGAGACCGAGTCGGCTGAATCGCGGTCGCGTGGCCTGTGCCGCGGCGGCTCGGCGCGATCAACAGCCAGCTGTGCAACGACGGCTCTCCGCGTCTAGGGACACTAGACACGACAACAACTCTCGTTTCCCCCGGATCTCCAACCCGGAGGGACCACCTGCGAGCCAGCAGGGGGGCGTGCAAACAGAGCTCCTCTTCCTCCTCCTCCTCCTCCTCCTCCTCGTCCCGTGCCAGATTCCATCACAAATTGCTGCTTTCACCGTCGCTGGCACCGATCTGGTGACAAACGTGGGGGCAACCGGGCTGCAGCAAAGTGGCCGTAGCCCTTGTAGGGCCCAAAACTAACTTCTTGATCCCGCTGTTCGGTTCGACCAACCTCCTGTCGAATGGGAGAGCGAATGCTCTCCATCCGACCCGAAGCCCGCGGATCGGGGGTGCCGAAGCTTCTGGACGCCTCTGCCGCTTTCCCCAACAGTTGCGAAACCTCCAGGGGGCCTCCCAAAGGGAAGCCTCTGGGGCTGAACTGGGGGGACGTTTCGGGGAGCCAACCCAGGGAGTGAGGCATCGAGCTGGGATCGGAGATGTCGGCGAAACGCCCGCCGATAGCGAATCCGCACGCTCCCGGGCGTGGTTGAGGGTGATCGGGCCCCTATCGGCGATGCGCGGGCGATGGCGGGTCGATGCATCCCCCACCCCAACGTTGCCGCTGGAAGGAGAACCGCGGAGGCTCCCTCTGGCTCCGCTGAAGAGCACTTCCTGCTGTTCCTCCTTGCGTGCTGTGCGACACCTCGTGCTGCTCCTCCTCCTCCTCCGCTTTCTGTGCCTCCCTCTTCCTCCTCCGCCTCATCCTCCTCTTCCGCTCCTTTTCCTTTTGAATAACTCCTCCCTGTCGCATCCCGGGGCCAATCCGAACGGCGGGCCTGGCGTTTCGCATGAGACTTCCTCGCCATCCACGAGCCTGAGGCTTAAAGACTGGCAACAGGTCCACAAAAGGATGGCGGGTGCTTTACAATATGTTGATTCCAGGAAGGGCGTCTGGCGGGGTGTCGGAAACGAGCTGTATCTTTCTCTCCGGCACCAGGAAGATGCCAGAGCGGCAGCTCGGTCATATTACGGCTGTGTGTGAAGAAACGTAACGCACCAACACTGGAACCGCCGCGGGTCCTGACCCGCCACGACAAAACAGACAGCCATACATTTTCACTTGACAAGAAATTCCCATAAGTTAAAGGCCGGGATAGAGGGAGCCAACAAGGACAGCAGAGCCAGATATGTCAGAGAAGACTGCGCAAACATTTCTAACACACCTCTTCGCGACGCAACTCCCTCTGAAGAATCAGCCGCAAACAAAGCAGGTCTATGATTCCAGAAAGGGCGTCTGGCGGGGCGTCGGAGACGAGCTGCATTTTTCTCTCAGGCACCAGGAAATTGCCAGAGCGGCAGCCCGGTCATAATACGATTGTGCGCGTGAAGAACTGTAACGCGCCAACACTGGAATCGCCTCGGGTCCTGGCCCGCCACGACAAAACACACAGCCATGCAATTCACTTGACAAGAAACTCCCATAGGTTGGAGGGTGGGCTAGAGCGGGCGGTGGTGGGGGAGGTCGGCAGACAGAACATATAAAACACGAGGACGGCTCACGGGCGCCTCGCACGCACAGCGCCATCAACAAGACCTTTCAGATGGCTCTGTGCCGTTTCGCAATATTGACGATTCCCAAGTGTCAAACGATTGAGAGCTTGCTGGATCTTAGATCTTGCCAGGTTTTGCATGACAGCGCACCGTATCTCCACGCTTGGCTCTGACACGGGGTTGTATGTCACTCAAGGTACGGCGGCGCTTCAGCAGATCATCTGAGGCACCACCGTGGCGCAACTGGCAGAAAGACGCATCGACTCCGAGCTTGGCTGCGGCAGCTTTGAAGAGGCGTGCGGCTCTGGCGGCGTCCAAGGGATAGAGGGGGCGCTCAGCCGACGCATGGCCTACCCAGGCCCCAGGACGTCGCCCAGCCAGTCTGGGTAGTCGAAAACGGCGGTGCCATCGAAGGTCTGGTTCTTCGACGGCAGCAGCCTCTCCTCAGGCGCCGCGATCAGAAACCGCCAACGAAGAACCGCCTCCTCTGGCGTCCCTGGCTTGACCAGGTCCCCCACCGTGGCGCGGAGCACCTCCCCGTGGTGGAAGGGGCCCGCGAAGGCGGTCTCGACGCGCAGGGCCGCGGCCCTCTCGCCGTCGCCGATGAGGGCGCAGATGCCCGACCAGACCTCGATTGGCAGCGGCCTGCTGACGGGCGGGCGCTTTCAGTGTCCCTTGAGGGCTCGCTGGAGCCGAGGGTAGTTGCGGATCTTGCCTAGCAGGGTGCTGTAGAGGAGGCAGCGCGCCGTCTTCTCGGCGTGGGTGAGCTTCGCGTTGCCCGCCAGGAGCTCGTCCGGGTAGTCGAGCAGGTTGACCTCCAGCTCGCCGCGGTCGTCGGTGGCCCTGCCTCGGCGCTGCTGCCGCGCGCGGAACAAGTCCCCGAAGTGCGCGTGCGCGGCCGCGCCCCTGGAGCTGACGGTCGCGAGCTCGCAGGCGTTTGGGCCGCCCGTCTGCGCTCGGCGCCCAAGCGTATGGGACAGCGGCCGCGCTGCAGGATCAGTGGGCCGCGGCGGGGCGCCGCCCCGGGGCGCCGCGGCCTCGGCCGCGGCCCACTGATGGCACCGCCCGCCGCGGCCCGACGCCCGCTGGGGCCCCGGCGGCCTCGCAGGAAGTCGACGGCGCGGCGGCTGCCGGACAGACCGAGGGGCTCTGCCCCCGACGCAGGCGCTCCATAGAGCGCAGGCAGTGCCTCCGTCAGCCGCTCGGCAAGACGAGGCGGAGCAGCGGCAGGATTGAGCTCGCTCGGCACCCATCCGAGCGTCGCCCAGGAGCCCGTCGCAATCGAGAAGGCCGCCGGGCGTCGGACCAACCGCAGGTGTCCGAAGGGAGCTGCACGCCCTCTGGAGAAGCAAAGGGCAACGCCGAAGTTGTCGACGAGGACGAAGAGCCTCTGGTGGATCTGATAGGGGGTCCCGAAACTTGAGGCGCATACTTCTGATGACAGCCCTCCCTTCCTTGCTGCCGATGGGCTCCTCGAACCTGTATCTCCCCACCCCCCGGCATCCCCGGGGCCGACCTGGGGTGGTGAGCTGCGGGGTCTCTCGGGAGCGGCCAAGAGGGGGGTGTCCAAGAGGGGGGGGTGCAAATCATGACCGGCGGCATGTGCGCGGCCCAGCGGGGGGGCCAGGGACGTAATGAAATAAGAAGAGGCGCCATAAAATCTGGGGAAATATCATGGCCCACGCCATGATATCCACCCCCCCCTAGTCATCACCCCCCTCTTTTCCGCCCCCGAGTCTCGGGGGGGCCCGCGCGAGGCTGCCGGGCCGACTCCGAGGGGGCGCCGACGAGCATGTCGAGGCCCCAGGGGCCCGCGCCCGAGGTCGCGGCGCCCGCGAGGGGGTCCAGGGTCGGCCGCCGGGCCCCGTCTGCGAGGGGCCCGCCCCGAGGGGGGGGTACACCCTGCGAAATGCTTTAGAAATCATGGGTTAAGAAATTGATAGTCTCAGAATGTAAATAAAAACCCAGAATGCCCATTCAAATCTTAGGATTTACATTGACACATTAAGAATAATCGAGACTCTGGCCGAAAACTTAGGTTTTCTTAAGCATCGCCTAAGGTGTAGACGCTGGCATTGATCGAGCCACGCATGTCACGGTAATGATCGGATCTCGGATTCAGAAAAACGGCCCCGGATGTAGAACATCCGCTTTTGAATTTCGTATGCCGGCTTCCGCGTTTACTACATGGTGCTCTGTCTTGTTTTGAGTCGGCGACGCAATTTGCGGAATTCGTTTCTCGCTTTAGTTCATCCTAGCTTTTTCAATGCTCTGCTTCAAATTATCCCGGCACAACAACCTAACAGCGCTGTGTAGGAGCATATCTGGAAGCATTCCCCTTAAGATTCAGATGAGAATCCAGTTGTAGAATTCTGCTCTTCTCGCAGTCGTAGTCGCATTCGCGATGACAGTCGCAGTGGCAACGGCAGTCGCAGTCACAGCCTCAGCCTCAGCCTGCCTCAGCCTCAGCCTCAGCCTGCCTCAGCCTCAGCCTGCCTCAGCCTCAGCCTCAGCCTGCTTCAGCCTCAGCCTCAGTCTGCCTTCAGCCTCGGCCTCAGCCTCAGCCTGCCTCAGCCTCAGCCTGCATCAGCCTCAGCCTCAGCCTCAGCCTGCCTCAGCATCAGCCTGCCTCAGCCTCAGCCTCAGCCTGCCTCTGCCTCAGCCTCAGCCTGCTTCAGCCTCAGCCTCAGTCTGCCTTCAGCCTCGGCCTCAGCCTCAGCCTGCCTCAGCCTCAGCCTGCATCAGCCTCAGCCTCAGCCTCAGCCCGCCTCAGCATCAGCCAGCCTCAGCCTCAGCCTCAGTCTCAGCCTGCCTCAGCCTCAGCCTCAGCCTGCTTCAGCCTCAGCCTCAGTCTGCCTTCAGCCTGGCCTCAGCCTCAGCCTGCCTCAGCCTCAGCCTGCATCAGCCTCAGCCTCAGCCTCAGCCTGCCTCAGCATCAGCCTGCCTCAGCCTCAGCCTCAGCCTGCCTCAGCCTCAGCCTCAGCCTGCTTCAGCCTCAGCCTCAGTCTGCCTTCAGCCTCGGCCTCAGCCTCAGCCTGCCTCAGCCTCAGCCTGCATCAGCCTCAGCCTCAGCCTCAGCCTGCCTCAGCATCAGCCTGCCTCAGCCTCAGCCTCAGCCTGCCTCAGCCTCAGCCTCAGCCTGCTTCAGCCTCAGCCTCAGTCTGCCTTCAGCCTCGGCCTCAGCCTCAGCCTGCCTCAGCCTCAGCCTGCATCAGCCTCAGCCTCAGCCTCAGCCTGCCTCAGCATCAGCCTCAGCCTCAGCCTCAGCCTCAGCCTGCCTCAGCCTCAGCCTCAGCCTGCTTCAGCCTCAGCCTCAGTCTGCCTTCAGCCTCGGCCTCAGCCTC